AAGTGCATATAATATATACATATATCCATTTTCCACTAAGTCATTTTCACACACATATGATCATCCTAATCCATCCATCCTTTATACATCCCTGATTGCATTTGTAGGCAACCCTAACCATCTCCTAAGGGATTTAGTCCTTGTCAAACCTTCTGTAGATGAACTATTAGATCAAGGTATTTTATCCTACTTCAGGACTACAAATTCCCCCTTATACATGTTAGGGATTCCGTTGATTCCTAACCACACCCTCACAGGCACTAGAGAGTTGACACATTGCCTTAATTTTTCATGGTATAGTCCCCTAATATTGCTGCACCGTGGGTCCCTTGGTGTCAGCTAATCCATATAAATTTTTCACGCTTATCTCTTCATTATAGGGTGAACTCCCACCCTCTCTAATACAAGTAATGAAAATATATGCTTATTATTTTCCATATATAAATCAATTCCCTTTTTAATCTACTTTCACAAATATTTCATTTGTAATTAAATTTTTCTTTCAAATACAAAATCAGGCAAGTTTAAAAATCATGCCGATGATTAAAATCACATACCATACCATGCACATTCACTTATAAACAGTTAATCTACTTAATAGACAGAATAAATTATTTAGTGACCTTAACTCTTTTTTACCAAACGGGTTACCTGTGGTGTAACGTTTGCCTCAATAGTCCCAACAACTAGTAAAAGCACCAAATTACATAAATCTACAATTTCAAACACCATATGTTAGTTTCTCATATCTAACATAAGCACTTATTAGCCAATTTAACTAAATTTAGTTATCCAACAATCCAAATCTCTACCGTTAAACTAGTCAGACTTCTACACCCTCATTTTATATTAATTTAGCACATATAAGGTTAATTCATGCTTAACTTCAGCTCACACAACTCTAACAATCCTAAATTCACCTAGGGTTCAACTAAAACCCAAGCTCCAACTCTTCAAGCTTCAACTTAACACTTAGTCAACTCAAAGAAGCTTAAATCAAACCTCCACAACCACATGTAAGACCTAAGGTTCAACTATAATCCTCATCCAACTTAGAACCCAATCACCCTTTCTTCAAAATTCAAGAAAACCAAGGTAGATAGGTAGAGAAAATTGTTGAAAAACTTACTTGGATGATTAGAGATTCAAACAAGTCTCTAACCTTGCCTAAATCCAAGTCATAGCAAAGAATTTCTTCTTCTCCTTCATGCCCTAAGCTTTCCTCAAACTTTCCTCTATTTTTTTTTTTTGATATTTTTCAAGGCTTTATGCTGAGTCTATGCTATATGGCACAACATATGGTGCACACGTTGAGGCATGTGGTGTAATGAGCAAAATTTCATTTTTCTCTCTCGTCCCGACTCACTTTGACTCAACTTCCATCTTGGCCTAATCTTGAGGCTATTCATGATCCAAAATGTTAATTAGCAATTTGAAAACATGATTAGATTAATGAATCACTTAATTTATTAATTACCTTTTAATTAGAAATTAACTTCTACATTTAAAACTCAGGACATGCAACAAGCAAAGAAGGGAAGAAAAATTATGGAGTGCAGTCATATGTTCGGGTGGGGTAATGGCAGACATAAATTGCCACATCTATTACATCATTTTTTTTTTGAAAAAAATAATAAGTAGAGAACTTAGTTTGATTGAAATTGAGTTCTATACCTTTCTATTAAAAAAGAAAAATTGAAACTCAGTCTAATTGAAATTGAGTTTTAAATTTATAGTATTTAGGAAAATATTTTTAAAAGTATAACATATTGCTAAATGTTTTTTTTCCCCTTATACCAACGTGGTCAAATTGCCTGAAAGAATTTACTCTTGCCCCTTTCCTTTCCTCTCCGCAATAGAACATTTATTCTTAAATCTTGCCCTTGCTTAAGGGAAGGGAAGGGAAAGGAAGGAAAATGGAGGAAGTTATTATTATTGTCTCCTCCTAGTTTTGCCGATTTTTGTCTCCATTAATTTTTCTTCTTCCATTTTCAAAAGCCATGATCTCCTCCTTCTCCTTCATTGCTCTTTCTTCATCTTCCCAACCTCGTTCACTATGGATGACAAAGCAAAAGGTAGGTGCAGAACAAAGATGTCCTCCCCAAGCAAGCTGCAAGAGATGGACTTGATGAAAGTGTTGGTCCTCTTTTTTTTTTTTTTTTAAAAAAATAAATTTCTGATTGGGTCTTCAAATTTGATTCTAGTTTCTCATTTTGGTTTATGAGTTTGAAGACGGGTAAAGAATAATGAAATTAAAATTCCATGTCATTTGTTTAGCTATTTTTATTTAAAATGCGGTGGTATTTTCTGTTAAATTTAAACTGCTCTTCCAATGGAAAAATGTGGATGGACAACGTTTGAAAGTTTAGGGTGTCATTACTTTTAAAATTGAGGGGTTATATGCACATTATCTAAAATTTAGGGGCTTGCATGTATTTACCCTAAAATTGTAGTGCCCATGAAATGATTAAATTGAATTTATAATTATATGTTATAAGGAAATTATCAAAGTATCTTTCAATTATTATTATTTTTTAAAATCCCCCATCAACTATGGCGAGAGCCAACTGCCTGGCATTAGGATAATTGCTCAAAGATAATCAAAGGGTGTTTGAATCCGGAATCTCTTGGTTCACAAAAAATAATGTAAAACCAAGTCACTATAATCGTGGTACAAAAAAACCATACGTGTATAAGAAACTTATAGTTAATAATTCAACATAGTTAATAATTCAGCCTTAAATCAAATCTAAGTTCTTTAATGAATATTTTTAATGTTTCTGTATTTTATTAATTTCAGAAAATTATAATTAATTTTTATATAAGATATTTGTAAGAATTTATTGATGGTTTTTTATTTACTTAAAAATTAATAACTTTTTATTTGAATATTATTGTTCTTCATAGTTAAATATTAATATTTTTGTATATTTAAATTAAAATATATTATTTTAATTATGAATGGTCTAACTTTAGGTTGGACCACTAACCTTTAAATTATTATCTTTAATGATTAGTTCAGTTTTTAATATCTTGCCATTAATGTCTCTTGACTATATAATGCAAAAACTTATATACTTCCTTCATTAAAAAATGTAAGGCATTTTTAATTGAATCTCACTCTTCAATAAAGTAGTTACCTACTTTCAAATTAACTCTATCTTTTTATATTTATCCTTATTAAACACCCTACCATAAATATAAAATCATTCATCAATAGAGGTACTTTTGAAAAAAAAAAAGGCAATCATTACATCTCGAATGACTAAAAATATATTACATTTTTAAATATCTAACTCTTCAAAAAATGTCTTATATTTTTAAACGGAGAGAGTATATAATAAGCCAAGTTTTCAAATCCAAGCTTGAGTGGACATGCAATTTCAATAATGTTATTATGAATTCAATAAAGCAACTCGTTAGCAGCACATGTTGCATATTTAATCTTGTTGATTTGTAAAATCATGAAGTGCATATGTTAAAACAATAATTTAATTTAACTTATCTTTTACTAATGATATCTTGCCAAATGGGGAAATAAACTTGTTAGTATATTTTACATATTCAACATTATTTTGTTACAACAAGAAGCAAACTTGTTAAAATTATATATATATATTTTTGAATGGTAGGCCACAGAAAGATCGTGCTAACGGACTTGTTGAGTCATGTCAGCGTACAAAAGGTCCCTACAACCTAGGGGCGCAATGTCAAAAATAAGTACATTAAAATTATCAATAGAGGCTTGACATGACAACCAATCAGCACAAGTATTTGCTTCTCTAAAAACTTGGTCAAAAGTGATAGTCCAATCTCGCATAATAAGATCTCTAATATCATTTTTAGTGGTAGAGAGAGGGTGATTGGTAGAGAACTCATTGCGGATTAGTGATAGAGCTTCAATAGAGTCAGAGTAGACATTAACTTTATTAAACTTTTTAGTCCAGCAGATAGTAAGTCCTTTCAGGATGCCTATAAGTTCAGCAGCAGTATTTGGGTGGTATCCAAGATATTTGGAGAAGCCTTTAATCCAGTTGCCTTGATCATTGTGTATGAGACCGCCACAAGAAGCTGTACTAATAGAATTAACGGAGCCATCAATGTCTAGCCTAACCCATCCTTCTTTAGGAAGGAGCCATTTGGCTTTAGTTCTATCTCTTTTTTGAGTGAGAAAGTCAATTTTGGATTGGAGATATTGATCGCTGATAATATCCTGGATATTGGTGAAAGCAATGTCCCTATTTTGATTGTCTTCCTCATAATAGGCATTTTTGCATCTTTTTTTCCAGATGTTCTAACACACATGGCCAAAGAATCTTTACCAAGAAGCCTTCCTTGCTCAAGCATTTCTCGCATTATTTTTGGCATTTCAAATTATCCAATCCTGTAAAGGAAGAGAAAAGAAAGTGTTAATTTTGGATTGTTTTAATAATTTTAATCATACCTCTTTTGATGTCTTGCAATCTCTCAAAATATGTATAGTTAAAATTATATTTAAAAACTTATAATTGAAGGGTATTTTGACCATTTATTTATTAACATATATTTTCAATTTAATCTTTAAGGGTGTGTTTGAATTTCAATTAACAAAAATTGATTAACAAAATGTGATGTTGTTTGGATAATATTTTCTAAAATTGATTTTGATAATTAAAAATATTTGGATAATCTTGCAGAATCAAGATGGGGGGAAATGAAAAATATTCAAATTGTGAGAATTAATTTTTAAATAGAGAAAAGATAGCTTTTTTAAAATAGAGTTTCACAAGCCAAATGAATTTTTGTAAATTAAGGGTATTTGGATAAGTTCTTGCAAAACTATGAGTTTAGTCCCACCACTGGTTCTCAATGAGCATCCCAACAGGTCCTAGTTTCTTTAATGTAATTTCGAAATGTTTCAATAAAGTAGGGTCATATATTGAAATTGTCCCCAGAAAAATATACCGTGGTCGCTGGTCGGTGGGGGCCTTTTTCATATTCCGTATTCCTTTCTCGTCAAATCTTCAATCATCAAGTCAAATTCTAAATTCAAAATATGATCAAAGGAGCCAAACGATCTTTTTGGTTCAGGTAATCTATTGATACATTATGCAGCCCACAAAAAGGTTTAAATTATGGCCTCCTGAATTCTCTGCAACTCGTCCTCTTTTCTTCAACCCCACAATCCCCACCTTCCCCACATTCTGTCACGACAACTTCTTTATCAAGAGTCCTGGTGTGGTGGCGTTGTCGCCGGAGATGGAAGATTCTGTTCGATTGGTGGAGGCGATCATCGGTTATAGTTTCAGGAGGAAGACGCTTCTGGAAGAAGCCCTCACCCATTCTTCCTTCTCGGACAGTTTCAACTATGAAAGGCTCGAGTTCATCGGCGACGCTGTTTTGGGTCTCGCCACCAGCAACCACCTCTTCCGCGTTTATGCCGACCTAGACCCTGGTAAACTCTCTCTTCTCCGCGCGGCTAACGTTAGCACTGAGAGGCTCGCTCGTGTCGCCCTTCGTAAAGGCCTCATTCGCTTTCTGCGACACAATGCTCCTTCTCTTCTTGACAAGGTTTTCTTTCGTTTTTTTCCCCCGACTTTTTACTATTTTCAGATTAGCTTTGTTGACATGCATGACAAGTCACAAATTTTGAACTTACTCTCATAAGTCAATCACTGAAGTATAGGCAGTCAATCACTGAATGTGCTTACTTATTTTATTGCTATTAATTTTTGATGAGTCGATACATTGCAAATTTTGAAAAGTGATTCGTAAAGAATCAAAATGTGTCTTTCTTAATCCTGCTTTCAGACTAACTCTATAGACATGTGTGGATGGTTAGAAATTTTGAACTTGCTCATAAATCTCAATGACCACTGTACAAGGAGGTCGCGTAAATTGTATCTTTGCTCGGACTATGCCTTCATTTTATCTTTACGCTTTGATTTTGTTTCTGTTCAGACTATGTCTATCTATCATTTTATCTTTGCTCGGAATATGCGTTGCTTGTTAAGCATTTTTTGGAATGAAAATTGAGATCTAATATATTAATAGAAAAGGAACAAGATACAAAACATGAGGAGTTAATGCCTTTCAAGTCGAGGGGGTGGATGATAAAAGGCACCAAAAGAATGATTACAGAGCATTCCTATTCTAATGATATCTCTAAATGGTCAGACCAGACATTACAAGAGAAAGACAAAAAAAAAAAAAAAAAAAAAGTCCATTCCCTCATTATGAACCTTCTTGCTTCATTAAGAATATCCTGCCTGAAGAGGATGCGAAGGAGAGACGTCCCTACTTTAAAAGACTATACAAATGTGTACAATTAAGGACCACCTCAATATTCTTGAATCCACTTGTCCAACAATGGTTAAGTCCATGACAACGAGCCTTTAGAACAGCAGCTTCACTCCGAGAATCCCAATGTTTATTAAAAAAAATAAAGTTCCCAAGAAAGGTCATTTCTTCTAATAACAGCAGCACTGATAGGAATCCCTTCTGAGGTGCATGTACCAGTGACTTCAAGCTTGATAGCATTGTTGTATCTATTAAGGTCCACCTTAGGATAAGAGTTGTTGTTTCCCTGCAGATTAGAAAAAACAAGCATTCTTGCATCCTGTATTGCCTTGTACGGAGTGATTTCAGCATCATTGCAAAGATTATTATCCTCATTATTAAAGAGATGGTTGCATCTTGCCACCCAAATATCCCAGCATATAGAAGAGAACAGAATTTTCCACAATATTTGCCTTGCATGATAACCACCAGCTTCATTGACTAGGTTCCAACCAATCCATTGTGAAACATTTCCACTATTGAATTTGTCCCAGCAGTTCCTGGAGACCAACTGTTTTCATCTTGTCTCAGCCTTCAGACAGGTTCTGAACAAATGGAGTTCATCCTCCATGCTTGTGCAGCCTTGTGAACAGCTATTAGAGTCCAGAAGGCCCCTTTGATGTATGATGTTTGCAGTATGAACAACTCCGTGTTCCATTAACCATAGAAGATATTTCATCTTTTCAGGGACCTGTAATTGCCAGATGCTTTTCCATTTGAAATTTGCTACACTTGGTGTACCTGCAATTAAAACAGAGTAGGCAGATCTAATAGAGAAATTTCTGTCAGAAGAGTGTTTCCACTTGTTAAACATTTTGAACATACTCAAATCAATGACTACAGTAGCAAATTGTATCTTTGCTCTTTTCTTGCATGTGTCTTATTTTCAAAGTGTCACAGTAGAATTGGTTCCGTTGTATTATGCTTAGTTTTTGATATTTATGAAGGTAAGAGAGTTTGCGGAGGTTGTGAGTGAAGAAGATGGTCTTGTTACCTATGGTGGATCAGTGAAAGCTCCAAAGGTTCTTGCTGATGTTGTAGAGTCCATTGCTGCCGCTGTTTATGTAGATCTTGATTATGACATTCACCTATTTTGGGGGGTGAGTAAGAGCATGTTTATTTTTGTGACAGTGAATTGTTTTTGCAGCTAATTTCGTGAAAAAGAAAATGAATTGGAATTTGGGATACGTGTTTTCAGAACATATTTAGATAGATTTAGATTTAGATTTGAAGCACGCAAGCTTTTGACTGATATCTTCTCCTCAATATTCTTGCCTTTTTGTTTCATTTTGTTTTATGTAAATTATGTTGAAGCTGAATCTATTATTATAATGATGATGATGATGATGATGATGATTTTTAGGATAAATTGGTCCATTGGCCGAAAAAAAAAATCTTATGCCCAAAAAATATGACCAAATTTTGAGAATTTGGGAGTGAGGTTGGTTCACATTGATATATAAGGGTTTATCATTGACATATAAAGGATTTATCATTAATATATAAGTATTTTATCATTGAAAATTTAAAAATTTATAAGAGATTTGTTATTGATATATGACGATACATCATTAAAAAATATAATAAACCAGCCATAATATAAAATATAATAAATGTTGGGCTGTTTGTTTGGTTTGGTCCTATAACATTGGTTACATTTGCAAAAGCCTCTAATTTTTATTATATTCTTAATTCTTAATGAATATTGATTCCATAAAAAACCTATTTAAGTATTGGAAGTGTGAAATTGGATATGCATTTGAAGGTCATTGTTATAAAGTGCAGTTAATATTTCTTATGTACTTGGCATGATTGTAAGCAGATATTTAGAGGTGTTCTGGAGCCATTAGTGACACCAAATGATCTCAAGGAACGACCACAACCTGTGACTATGCTTTTTGAGTTATGTCAGAAGCAGGGTAAAGAAATTCTTATAAAGCATTGGAAGAAGGGCAGAAAAATTCACGCCAGCGTTTATGTAGATGGAAAGTCTGTTGCTACAGCGGTGTCTGACCAAAAAAACATTGCAAGGCTTAATGCTGCCAAGGCAGCACTGCCTCTCTTAGCCAATTCAGATCCTGCCAATACTGGTGTGAGCTTGTGCACTGATATTGATGGCCCTTTTGAGATCAAAAGCGCAAAGCAAAAGTTACATGAGATTTGTGGAAAGTTGAAGTGGCCTGAACCAGTATACTGGTAAGATCTGCTATAATGCATTGATATCCCAAGAATAATGTTCATGTAAAAATTGGATGCAATTTCTCCATATAACTTGGTATTGCCTTTTGGTTTTCTCTGGCCGCCAAATTTTAAAGGAAAACACAATTTTTGGTTTTTATACTTTCATCAGATTTTGTTTTTAGTCTTTGTAGTTTTTTATAGTGTTTCAATCCCTATAGTTTTAGGAAGATTGGGTGACTTTTGTTGCGCAAGTCCTTATAGTTTTCATTTTTTAAGTGGTTTTAGTTCTAAAAATACTGAAAAAAACTATAGAGATTAAAAGCAAAACCCGAGGAAACTATAGGGACCAAAAATTATGTTTTTCCAATTTTAAATGATGGTGGGAATATATGAGAACCAGGAACTACAGGATTTGGATCCTTTCAGGTTACTTGATTTGTCATGTTTGGAAGAGGAATTTGCAGAGGAAAGCAATAGCATTAAAAGTGACATAAAAGGATCCAAATCTGGGCACACATGAAGGTATTATTCTTTTTGTGCACGCAAATGGAACAACGCTTTCTTGACTGTAGGTTTCAATCTCAAGCATTCGTACAATCTACAGACTTATAGTTTTGTTCTCCTCCTATTTAATTGACAATTTCTTCATGATCATGCTTCTAGAATTTTACTCATCCTCCCCAGTATAGGTATTACAACTCACAAACTGGATAGCAGATCGAGTTTAACATTTGTAATTCCCAGGATCAATGGCTTTAAGTTGGGATCCTTCCCTCCTGCCATAGCCAAGGTCATAGGGATTGTTAAAGGACTAGAATTATGCTAGTTTCATCGTCTGAAAACATTGAAGTTTTCTATGATTGCATGGAGGCAATAAATCTTATCACCAGATTCCAACACCAGCACCACCCTTACAAAGACATTATTCAGCATCCTATCAATTTGCTGAACAGGGATTGGAATGTGTCCATCAATTTTATGTTCAGAGAAGCGAACTCCCTCGCTGATCTTTTAACTAGATTTGGTCATACTTTAGTTAATGAATTTTGTATCTTTGATCATAAGCCATCTTTCCTAGAAGATGGAGCATGATAAAAGAATTAGTTTTAGTTTGTCTTTGTAGCTTCCTTGTTCAGAGTATTAAAAAAAAAAAGTATTCTTTAATAATATGTTTGGAGTTGGTGCGTGATTTAGGGATGACTTAGGGATGTTGAAGGCTTGAAGTATAATTCCATGTGTTGGCTTCAATGTTGTTCTTTCACCTTTCCTCGAAGATGCTTATGTCAATTTTCCTGGTAAACTAGTTTCACCTTCTTGTTCCTTGCTCTGGTTTACAGCATTGAGAATGATAGTGGTCCTCCACATGACAAGAAATTCGTCTGCTCGGTTCGGATAGTGACTGAGGAAGGTATCCTCTGCATGGTGGGAGAAGAGAAGTCAAGAAGGAAGGAGGCAGATAACTCTGCTGCTTCCTTGATGATACGGGCCTTAGAAATTGCTGAATTCAAGTTCTCCTGACCTTGTTTCTTACAAAGTTGTCAATAATTGTTCAGAGAGTCATCCATCTTCTATGTTGTATAGTTATAAATGGTGGAACTGTCCATGTGCTTTCTGTGAAGAGAAATTCTTGCATAGATTAAGCGCTTCTCCTATCCCTGCTTTATCCAATAAAAAAATGCCATGCATATGATTGTAAATATAAATTGATTCTGCCATTGATTAATTTGTCTCTCTAGTATCATCTATAGCAGAATTAATTTTATGTTTATAATCATATAACAGGGCATGTTTTTATTGGATAAAGCATAGGTGATGTGGCCCGCCTAGTCCATGCGAGAATTTTTCTTCTGTGAAACCATCAAGTGGCTGTTAAAATCCTTGGATTCCTTGGCTCAGGATTCCTTCATGCAGCTACATGGTTCAGTGGAAGAGAGATAGATCAACTGATAAAGTGGTGGGATTTGCTCTAACTTATGAATCTTACTACACCTTTTGCCGGCCCATGCAGCTACTGTAGAGGAGTTATGCCCAACTGCTGTAATGATTACTTGATATTAAAATTACTTGACTTTGTAGTGCATAAACAACAATTAGCAAGATAATGCGTCAATCTTATTCTTTTCCTATATTCCTGGCGGATTATTTGTTGAAGAGCGGTTAAGAATACCATTTAATTTAATTTTTTATTTTAATTAAAAGTGATTTATGTTTTTTTTTGGTTATATTAGCAGTTTATTTGTTGAAAAGGGCAATTGTGATGATAAACAATAAATAACTCAATACGTTCAAAGGAGTGTAAATACTTTACTACATGTTTTATGCTTTACAGTGGATCGTAACGGAGAAAAGCAAAAAATACATATGTTGTCTTGCATTTTTGCATTTGCATATTCTAGGTCTGTCCAGTATGTGAACGATTCCATATCTTCTTCAATTTGGTCGATCATTTTGGAAATTCAAATGAAGCCACTGAATTTGTAGGAAGTACGACAGTCATACGAAGGCGAGGATTCTGAAGAAGACCCACTTGTGGTACAACCTACACATTTGAGGCAAAAGAACATGTGTGAGATTAGAGGATGACTTTGGAATGAGCATTTCACACCAAGTAGGTGATCCTTGCTTATTCTATGGAGTCTAAGACATGATTCGGATGCATGTTCTGTAAATATTACTAGTGATTATGGAGTTAATGATTTACAACCGGAGCCATTTTGTGGCCTAAAATTTAAGAAAAGAACCACAATGCTGAAGAACTGTGGATAGCGCGTGGCTCGTTGATTATTTCATTTCTTTATTTCCAAATGTTTATGATTTACTTATAAATGAAAGATGAAACACTATTTAAAATAACATAAGCTATACCTTATTGGGATTATTAAAGGAATTCTCATCCTTGACATTGGCAGATGTGAGCAATGTAACAGTTGATCCAGAAAGATTCGCACTCGAGTCCAAGCCGTCAATTGTAATACCAAGAGTCGCCATCTTGTCATCAGAGTTGACAACCTAAAGAAATATTTGGGATTTCAAATGAGAATGACCTATTTAGTGTTCGATTAACTCAAGCATGATGGGTTATCCGTGCATTACATTACCTTGATCCTCAAATAACTCTTTTTGTTCTCTTGATTTTCCCAAACAATTGCCGATGCGACAATCGATGCTAGGGCCTCAAGTCTTGAGTTAATATATATAGCACCACTTAATCGTGAGAAGAGTCGTTGTAACCAGTAGCTCGGAATTCCATAACTCCGGTATGAGTCAAATATAATAGCGCCTGGTATCCACCTATATATCCGCACAAAATCACGTGATCTCAATCTTGTATTATACAAATACATGAATATACAAGAAAGCTCAAAAAGAAAAATAACTGAACACATTACTTCTTGTCATTTATATTTACAAAAAATGGTGCATAGCAGACCATTCCCACAACATTGCTGCATCGTGGCGAGAAAGGACATTCGTCAGCATGTGAGGATTATGTAAGCTATAAACCGGCTAAATAATATCATTAAGAAAATTTGACAATCAAGAGAGCAATGAACCTGTTCTTTTCCATTCCCATAAGGAACGCGGCTTCACCCAAGGCAGACAAGAGGGTTCCAAATCTAGCATCTTCTTGCCAAACAGCATACTCACTTACAAATGCTTTTGGACCGGCACGATTCAAAGAATCAAGTTTGTTATACATTGAGAAGATACCCCTAATGCTTGTGTAAACCTGGAAATCAAACAAATCCACCAGATGATCTAATGGAGCAGTGATTGCATCATAGTTCGAGATTATTTGAACATCCAGGTAGTAATGCTTTATGGCATTATAGAACATAAGATAGTTTCCTTGGTAGTTATAAATCCCACAGTCCTCATTTCCAATGGCAATGTATCGTAGATCGAAGGATTCAAGGTGTCCCAAAGATGCCCTTATCTTCCCCCACTTTGATATGAGAGGACCTCTTGCAAACTCAATCCCATCTAGAGCTTCCCGTAAACATTAATGCAAAACAAAATCAACCAACAAGAAAAGGACTAAGGATTAATTTAAGAACATCATATGAAGCTGTGAAGGCTAAATTATACTTGTACGAAAGGCCATATGTTAGTTGTATTGATTTCTTCATGGCGGTTAATGCCAGCGTTAAATACCCATACTGGTAAGGCATTGAGGTCTTCTGTGAACTGCTCGAATATAAAAATTATAACAATAGATTGATATGTGTGTGTGTGTGAACAAGGCTAAGTCAATAAAGGGAAGAATAATCGAAAAGCACGTAGTTGAAGAAACTCCAAAAATCCAAAGCCACCATCAATCCAATAGCCCTATATATCATTAAAGTGACCTGGCCTCTTCTCCCACGGTCCGATTGTATCCTTCCACCTATATGCATTTCTCAAATGATCCCCTTCAACATAAGTGCCACCTAAAACAATTGAATGGCGGACTAATGAATTTTAAGGAGGTCACATTGGACAATCATTGTAAAGAAGCCTCTTAATTTACACCATACTACATATGCCTCCCCGGGAATCAAAGAAATTTCGATTTTAAGTACGCAACCATTTGATAAAGGTCCTTTCAAAATCCATGTCCCTGATGGAAAAAATGGAAAGTAATCATAGTCAGACTAGGTGAGAGAAAATGCTAAATGAAAACAAAAGCTCTTCAAGTGTATTTTAGGTTAAGAGGACGAGGGAAAAAAGGTGGCCCCACTTCTATCGATATGTGTTCCATAGAGGTGGGGCATCCCTTCACCTCTAGAAGATCTAATTACTAGAGTAAAAGTCTCCCTTTCATGTGGTTAGAGTTATCATTTCAAATATTAGATACATTGTATGTGTCCATAGGCATCGTTGAGACTCCAAATCTCTCCTTTTTGAGGAGTTGTAATTTGGAGTCTTGAATTATAGTTAGAACTTGTGGCTTCGAGAACCGTCTCAATTCTTCTCCATTTCGCAACATGTTTTGCAAAAGCGCTGCATACACATGCAATATATCCATTATACTTGGTATGTATGATACTCAAAGTGTATTAAATATAATAAGAGACACGCTAATTAATCTAGGGGAAAGTATCTCTGATGAATAACCTGATGTTAGATTATGCTAATTCTTGACCATTTTCTCCCATGAATGAAACTTTTAGATCAATTGACCTTGATGAATGGGAAAAGAAGGCCACTCTGTATTTCTTCCCTTGCTCAATATTCTATAAAGGAAAATGATTATTCACATTGGAGTTAAAATACTGCAATCATATAATAATATATGACCAGAAGTTAAGAATTTATATCTATATCATGCCCCAAAAACTAGGGTTAGAGAGACTAACTCCTTGAGGGCATTTATCGGGAGAATGACAGAGGATATGCAATTTCACAACAACCTTATTACGAGGAAAGCGAGAAGCAAGTTTAGTTGTCATGCATATATTTGATTCATCCCCAATAATCATCCATGGAAAAATACTTGAAGGAACCATTACACCCTCGGCTTCAAAAACTTGACACATTAATTTAAATTCATGTTTAATTATCTAAATATGATATTTAGAGAACAATATTCTTAGTGAGGAATCCAAGTTTTATAATCACCTCCATTGTTTACAAGTTCTACCCAAAGCCCTCCAGACCCAGCATGATTGATCTCCTATAAAAACAAATGGTTAACGATCAGCATGATACATAAACACACAAGAAAACATACAAACCCTAGTGTTGCACTACATATTCACCTCAAAAAATGAACCAAAAAATGTTCAGGAATGGGCCTACCAGATTGAACATCTACATGCAGTATTGCGTTGAGGGCACCACATTGAGAAGAAATGGCTAATAACATGAGAAAAAGAGCACAAGCTTTGTACGGTGTCATTTTTATGAATTATTGAACATGAAGGTTTCTATTTCTTTTGACTTGTGCTCACAAGTTTATATAACATTGGCCTAGAACTAAGTATAGACTTATTATTGTTAAGAGACGAGTTAACCAAGATATGGTTTGCATGCATTTATGCCTAAGAGGTATGATCTTATGTGTCCACTAGCTATTCCCAACACACATATCCAAGATCATGTCAGCTTTGGTATTTTAGGCAATGAGCCTCCTGGACCTAATTTGAGCATTGACAACAAATTCAAACCAAATTTTTTTAGTTCAAATAGATTTCTGTTAGCATGGATGACTTTAGAATAGCTACGTAGCTTAAATCTATGATCTTGAGAAACTTCTTTGGTATCTCTAAGACATTGGGAAGGAAATTATATCTTAGAACCTCATAATTTTGATAACCTTGTGAGACTTTGGGTTTGTGAGTTCGTATTTTTCCTTGGGCATGTAAAAACAATTATTCATGCACTACTTATTTTTTTACCTCTATATACTTTATTATATTGAGCAACCTGTTATACTTTCTTTGAAATCAATTCACTTATATATTCCTGTTATTATCTCCATCTTTCTTATTTAAAACTATTGGTACGTAGTTCTTGTACATTAAAAATAAATCATAACATGTTTCACTATAATCCAATCATAGCATGAACACGAAATTGTAAACTCTAAAGTCCCGATTCAAACCAGGCTTTACCATCTCCAATTACCCAATCAATTAGCACAAACACAATAATATCAAAGTAATAGCCCTTTATTTGTTTTCAAATTATAGGATTCTGACTTCTTAAAACATATATTCAAATAAGAGGGCTAGTGGAAGCGCATATACAGTCAAAAGACTCAAAAAGCCATAACTTCTCAACCCTGAAAATGGGCCATGTGCCGCGGCATGTGGCAAAAAGCCACATGCCTAACTTTTTTGTGTCATGTGCTGCAGTGTGAGATGCCATGCACTGCGGTGCATCAGTATGAATTTTCTGTTGTCATTTGACAGCAAAAATGATGAACTTTTAGAGTACGCTGTTTTCACATTCGACATCCAATTGGAGTGATTCAAGTGTCTACATAAAGCCTACAACATACACTAGCTAATAGAATAAATTTGGACTCAATCTGACAGTTTGATCTAACATTGGACACCCAGTTATAAAAGTTACTTTTTTTTTTCAAAAACTTACACTCTAAGTACTCAATTCTTATTTCTTGTCCCATTTGACCACTTAGGG